GCCGTCTTTTCCTCCCGTTCCTGTTTCCTGATCTTGCCTCGTTTGAGCGCTCTGCTGACTTGATCGCTCACCTCCGCTCGCTCGACGCTAGTTACCGCGCTGCTTGCACTGAGGCACAGCTTACACTGCTTCCTCCCCCCATGGCGATCACTGTCTATTTCATCGCCACTAGCCTCCCTGACCGCCTTGCCTCCGTTCGATCACTGACTACCACTTTACCGTGTCCTGCTGCTCCCTCCGGGTCTCTCACTGGGTTTCACGTCCCCTCGTTCTCCCGGAACTTGGTGGGCGTGCGACCCCTCGTGAGTCAGCACGTGGGTGTGTGGTTTGAGCCTTCTGGAGAGACTGCGGTGTGTGTTGACGGAGACTCTTACCAGCCTCTTGCTACCTTTACTGCTGAGCCGGGCTCGGGTCTCTACACTCTTCACACTGGCCCGCGTGCGCCGCAGCAGCAGCCGCAGCAGCAGCAGCAGCCGCAGCCGCAGCAGCAGCAGCAGCAGCACCAGCGGCCGCACCAGCAGCCCCCCCTACTGCCACTGCCCCCGGTTCCCCCCCCCGTTCGGGTCCCCGTGTCTCACCAGGTTGCTTCGTCCCCCCAGGTGTCTGTGTCGTGTCAGGTTCCTACGTCTGTTCCAGTCGCTGCGTCGTGCTCCTGCCGGTCGCTTGCCCACCCCACCGTTCTGTGGCACCACTGGATGGGGCACCCGTCCCTTCCTCGTCTGCGCGCTATGTCTAGTCAGCGTCTTGTCCTAGGCCTCCCACGTGTCTTGCCGTCGCTGCCGCCTTCGCTTGCGCCGCCGTGTCGTCCCTGCGTCGAGGGTAGGCTGCGCGCCACCCCTCACTCCTCCTCCCTTCGTCCGGCCACCGAGCCTTTTGAGACGCTTCACTTGGACGTCTGGGGCCCCGCCCCTCGTCTAGGCCCTGAGCGTGAGCGTTACTTTCTGGTGGTCGTTGACGACTTCTCCCGCTACACCACAGTGTTCCCACTGGCGAAGAAGTCTGAGGTGACTTCTACGCTGATCAGGTGGTTGCTCACCACCGAGGACACTCGTGGTCGTCGTGTCAGCTGTCTCCACTCCGACCGTGGGGGTGAGTTTTGCTCCGGCATTCTCGCTGGATTCTGTCGCGAGCAGGGCATTCGTCAGTCCTGGACGCTTCCAGAGTCCCCACAGCAGAATGGGGTTGCTGAGCGCCGCATAGGCCTGGTCATGGAGATCGCCCGCACCTCCCTGACTCACGCCTGTGCCCCCCATTTTCTGTGGCCCTACGCGGTCAGGTACGCCGCGCACCAGCTGAACCTCTGGCCACGTGTCTCTCGACCAGAGGTTTCACCGACCAGTCTTTGGACAGGGTCCCCTGGTGTTGCGTCGCGGTTTCGTGTCTGGGGGTGCTTGGCTCTTGTCCGCGACACCTCCGCGGACAAGCTCTCGCCTCGTGCCGTCCCCTGTGTCTTCCTTGGTTTCCCTGAGGACTCCTCTGACTTCACCTTTTACCACCCTCCCTCTCACCGGTTCTTTGACTCCCGTGACGTCCGTTTCGAGGAGTCCACTCCGTACTACGTCAGGTACCCCAGTCGAGGTCTCCCGGTTCCTCCTCCCCCCCTCTTCCTGACTGCCGCTCCCCCTCCTGCTCCCCCGGTACATCCTCCCCCCCCTGGCCCAGCCCCGTCAGGTGTGTCCCAGGCTACCCCTCCTCCTTCGGTAGCCCCTCCGGTACAGCCTCCCTCCCCACAGTCCTCCTCGCAGCGTGCCGCTGGTGCTAGCTCTCGAGAGGTTGGTGCTGCGCCTGTTCCTGTACCGGTTTCTGGTTCTGGGGGTACTGGAGTTGGAGCTGGTGTTGGAGCTGGAGGTGGAGCTGGAGTAGGCACTGGAGTTTCTGGTTCTGGGGGTGCTGGAGTTGGAGCTGGAGTTTCTGGTTCTGGAGTTGGAGCTGACCCGGTGGGTGCAGAGGACTCTTGTCGTCCGGGAGCCGGTGCTGGCCGCGTGGACTCTGGGGGTGCTCCCTCTGGGGGTGAGGGTGCGCCTGCTTCGGGTTCTGGTGCGCCTGGGTCTGGAGTTGGTGTTAGTGCTGCCTCTGGGGGTGGTGCGCCTGGTTCTTCGGGGGTTGACTCTGGAGCTGCCGCTGCTTCGGACACTACTCCGCCCCCCCACCCCTACCCGACTAGGCACCAGGCTCGTGTTCGCCGTGCGCGTGACGAGCAGCTGGAGTTGGAGAGAGAGGAGAGGGAGTTACAGCGGCTGGCGGAGCAGCAGCAGCAGCTAGACCCGCACGAGCAGCAGTCCCAGCAGCAGCCGCGTCCGCAGCAGCAGCAGTCGCAGCAGCAGCAGCAGCAGCCACTTCCTCCTCCTGTCTCGGGTCTTCGGGCCCTTGGTCTCCCCTCCCTTCTCCTCCCTCCTCCGCCTCTCCTCCTGTCTACGGTCCCACGTTTCCTCCGCCTGACTCCTCCCCCGCTGTTTTCTCTAGTTCTCCGCCTTTGTCCTCTCCTCCTCCGTCTCGTTCTTGGGCTACTCGTCGCTCCCCTCGTGCTCGTCCCTCGTCTCCTGTTCCCTTCACTTCCCTTCGTACTGCCTTACTTTGTTCCAGTCCACCTCGTCCGTCTCAGTCTGTGCTTCCGTCTCCTCCTGAGTCGGCCCTCACCGTGTCGCTCCCTGCTCCTGTCACTGACTACTACCGCACGTACCGTCCTGTTCTCTCTCGTGTTCTTGCCTCTCTTGTTACTCACCGTCGTGCCTCTGTGTCCTCTGTGTCTGCTCTTACTGCCGCGGTTACTGACTTTGCCGCTACCCACCGCCTTGACTACGCCACCACGCTTGTGGCTGCTCCTCCTACCAGTCCTCTGGCCGTCGGGGGTGTGTCTGCCCTTGGCTGTGACGCCCTAGAGGACAGGCAGTTTGAGCTAGAGTTCCTGGCGGCCGCTTCCCCTCATCTCTGTGCCATGCTCCTCGCCCCTGAGGGAGACCCCGACGCCCTTGACATTCCGACTCCTCGCACTTACGCTGAGGCAGTGTCAGGGCCTTGGGCCTCTCAGTGGAGAGCTGCCATGGATGCAGAGATGGCCTCCTACAGATCCACAGGCACCTACGTCGATGAGGTTCCCCCCCCTGGGGCGAACGTAGTCGACGGCATGTGGATCTACAGGGTGAAGCGGCCACCGGGATCTCCCCCGGTCTTCAAGGCGCCTTACGTGGCTAGAGGTTTCAGTCAGCGCGAGGGAGTTGACTTCTTTCAGACCTTCGCACCTACCCCGAAGATGACCACTCTTCGGGTGTTACTACACGTAGCAGCACAGAGAGACTACGAGTTACACTCTCTCGACTTCTCCACTGCTTTCCTTCAGGGCAGCCTACACGAGGAGGTCTGGTTGCGTCGTCCCTCGGCCTTCACTGGCACTTTCCCTCCTGGGACCCAGTGGAGGCTGAGGCGACCTGTTTACGGTCTTCGCCAGGCCCCTCGCGAGTGGCACGACACTCTGCGTTCTACCCTCTCTGACCTTGGGTTCCAGCCGTCTTCTGCCGACCCGTCGCTGTTCGTTCGTCGTGGCTCCACACCGTTCTTTGTTCTGGTCTACGTCGACGACCTCGTTTTCGCCACTCCGGACAGGGTTGCTTTGGCAGACGTGAAGTCCGAACTGCAGAAGAGACACACGTGCATTGATCTTGGTGAGCTGCGCCACTACCTTGGCCTGCAGATCACCAGGGACAGAGCCGCTCGCACCATTACACTCTCACAGTCACACATGGTGCAGCAGGTCCTTCAGCGGTTCGGGCTTCAGCACTCCACCGTACAGCGCACACCTCTCGCTGTTGACCACAGACTCACTGGTCCCTTTCCTGACGAGCCGTTTGAGCCTAGTGGTCCCTGCGCAGAGCTTGTGGGTTGCCTCATGTACCTGATGACTTGTACTCGCGCGGACCTCGCCTTCCCTCTCAGCATCCTTGCGCGCTTTGTTGCGCCAGGGAGACACCGTCCTGTTCACTGGACGGCAGCTGTGAGGGTGGCGAAGTACCTAGCGACTACATCAGGCGTGGGGCTAGTTCTTGGAGGGCAGCAGTCTGTCGTACCCACTGGTCACTATGACTCCTCTTACGCTGACGACGCTGAGACTCACAGGTCTACTCAGGGGTACTGTTTCAGTCTGGGTTCTGGAGCTGTTTCCTGGCGTTCCACGCGCTCCTCTTCTGTCTCGACCTCTACAGCTGAGGCTGAGATTTACGCTGGTGCCATGGCGGCACAGGAGTTGCGGTGGTTGACCTTCTTGCTCGCCGACCTTGGTGAGCGGCCGAGCTCTGCACCGACCTTGTTTACTGACAACAAGGCGTCGATCCTCCTCTGTCGTGAGCCGCGACTGAAGAGCAGAGTGAAGCACATTCACGTCAGGTACTTTCTTCTGCGAGAGTTGCAGAGACGTGGACAGGCTCGCTTCGAGTTCGTGGAGTCCGAGGCCAACACTGCAGACATCTTCACCAAGGCGCTTCCGCCTTGTGACCACCAGAGGTGTTGTGTGCAGTTAGGCCTTGTTGACACAGGTTCTAGTCATGTGTAGACTTGAGTTTATTGCCTGCTTCGTCTGTACACTTGCTATATATACTTGTGATCTCTTGGACTGGCCTTGTGGCCACTGTTGCTTGTGCTCAGAGTGTGTGGTGACGTTGTGATCCACCCTGAGCTTTGTTTTCTTTTGGACTGGTCTTGTGACCGTACTCTTTTTGATTTTGCTAGACACCCCTCACTTAGGCTATGGGGGTGTGTCAAATGTTGTAGCCTGTAGTGAGGTTTGTCTTAGGGGGTACAAAAGTTAGGGTTTGTCATATGTACCCCAACCAACATCAATGGAAACACCATTCCTCATTCTGACACTCACTCCTCGCCGCTCCAAACAGCTCATCTCTCACTCGCCGCTCCAAACAGCTCATCTCTCACTCGCTTCACCGAACAACACCTCCTGCTGCACATTCGTACCTCTCACACCGACTCACCCCACACAACCCCCCACTCTTCCCTCAACTCACCCCCCCACTCACCGCTCCACTCCACCCCCCACTCACCCCCCCACTCACCCCCGCCCCGCCACTAACACTCGTGACAGCCCACGAAGCCCCTGTCCCTCCACTCACGCTCGCTCCCGACGCCAGAGATTCCGCTTGGGCCATCTCTACAAGAAAGTCCCCCCCCTGCATGTCTGCTACCTCCCTGTCCACTCGCCCTAGCGCCTCGCTCCTCGCCGCTCCAAGCAGCTCTTCTCTAATTTCTATGAGCTCGAAAAGGAGCCGGTTTACGGATGGGCGCCAGGTTGACGGGAGGGCCGTGCAGGAGAGCGCGAGGGTTGCCAGTCTGAGCAGAGAGCGCGGGTTGGGAGGTGGGGAGGAGGAGGAGGAGGAGGGGGATAAGAGAAAGGGGTCGGTGAAGGTTGCGGGGTTTTGGGCGGGGAGGAGAGAGGCCACCCAGTGTATAAGAGTGGCTCTTTCGTCCGCGTGTTGGCCTGTGTGTTTGTCTGCGTGTCCATCCACGTGTCCGTCTATATGCCTCTCTCCAGTTCCGTCAATCCCTCTGTCATTGTCCCTGTGTTGATGCGCGGCGGCGGTGGCAGTGCGTGCTGTGAGCAGAATGAGGGCGAGCACGCCAACGGTGTATACGTCAACGACAGGCGACAGCTGGTGTGTGTGGAGATACTCTGGGTCCATGTACCCTGATGCATCCCCTCCTGCACTCCACACACCTGCACCCCCACCACCAGCACCACCACCTGTGCCGCCACTGCCAGCGCCGCCGCCGCCGCCGGTGCCGGCGCCGGGGCCAGCGCCAACACCGCTGATATTACTGCAACCCTGCCTGTCTCGACCCCCGTGACCTCTCCCCTCCACCATCTCAGCCCCCCTGACGTCTCGTCTCTCTGCGTCTTGCCTCCCCGCTTGCACCCCTGCGCCATTTCTCCTTCCATCCCGCACTCCATCCTTGGCGCCATTCCCTGCTCCGTCGTCCCTTGTGCCATTCTCCCTGGCGAAGGGGTCTCTGTTGAGGCCGAAATCAGTGAGCTTGGCGCGCATGGTCTTGTTGAGGAGCACGTTGGCGGGGTGGATGTGAGCGTGCACGAGGGAGAAGGCGTGCAGATACTGCACCGCTGTGTTATTCCTATCAGCACGTCGATTCGCTGCTGCAGAGTCAGCTGCACCGCCGCACCTGGGAATTGGGGAAGGGGTGGGCAGCAAGTGGGAGCATGTGAGGGACTGGGTGAGCAAGTGGAAGGGAGTGGGCGTGTGCACGGAGGGGGGATGCAAGCGGAGAGCGCGGGAGAGAGCGCGTGAGAGAGTGCGTGAGAGCGCGCGTGATAGAGCGCGAGAGTGTGCACGTGAGAGAGCGCGTGAGTGTGCGCGTGAGAGTGCGCGTGAGAGAGCGCATGAGAGAGCGTGTGAGAGAGCGTGTGAAAGAGCGCGTGAGAGAGTGCGTGAGTGCGCGTGAGAGAGCACGTGAGTGCGTGTGAGAGTGCGCATGAGAGAGAGCGCAAGAGAGCGCGCGAAAGAGGGCGTGAGAGAGCGCGTGAGAGTGCGCATGAGAGAGCGCGTGAGAGTGCGCGTGAGAGAGCGCGTGAGAGTGCGCGTGAGAGAGCGCGTAAAGGGGCGCTCGAGTGTGCCCGTGAGTGTGCGCGTGAGTGTGCGCATGACTGTGCGTGTGAGAGAGCGCGTGAGTGTGCGCATGAGTGTGCGCGTGAGTGTGCGCGTGAGTGCGTGTGAGAGAGCGCGTGAGAGAGCGCGTAAAGGGGCGCGTGAGTGTGCGCGCGAGAGTGCGCGTGAGAGAGCGCGTGAGAGAGCACGTGAGGGAGCGCGTGAGTGTGCAAGAGAGAGAGAGCGTGGAAGTGAGAGTGCGCGTGAGAGTGCACGTGAGAGAGTGCGTGAGAGAGCGCGAGTGAGAGCACATGAGAGAGCGCGAGGATGAGAAGGTGTGTGCGCGAGGATGAGAGTGCGTGCGACTGTGTGTGCTAGGGTGAGTGCGAGTGTTAGTGCAAGGGTGCGTTTGAGTGTGTTTGCGTGCGCGTGTATGTTTTTGTGGGAGTGTTATTGTGAATGAGAACGATCATGAGTGCGAGGGTTTGTGCAAGAATGCGTATAGATTTGTATGTTTGTTTCTGTAAGTGTGTCTAAGAGAGTATTTGTGCGTGTGTGAGTGGGTGCGAGATTGAGTACAAAAGTGAGTGCAAACGTGAGGATGAAGCCGAACGCGAGGGTGGCTGCAAGGTATTGCATCATTCCGGTGTAGTATCTGTGGCGCGACGACTGATCCAATTTAGCACTGTGAGTTGTGAAATTTCAATTGCTCGTCTTTGATTGATCTATGCGTTCTTCAACTCCGTTTTCTGTTGCTCTTATTTCGTTTCTAGTGCATGCGTGAGCTGCATCGTCTGTTTTTGTTTCCATGTGCAATGCTGTGAGGTGTCCTCTTTGTTTTTGCTATCTACGGGTAAGTTGCGTTCCTGCTTGGCCTCTTCGTAGGGAACAAGAGTTACATTATATGTTTAAGTGCTTCTTTGTACACAGTATGTGAACATTCTCTGTTTTAGCCCTTTTCTTGTGCAGGGCGTGTAATTTGCATTCTCTGTTTTTTCTTTGTGCAGGGCACGTAAGCTAATTTTGTTTGGTGGAGAAGGGAGATGAGGGAGGGGGTGGGAGGGAGGGAGGGAAAGAGGTTGTAGAGAGGGTAAAGAGTGTCAAACTATATATGTGCTAGTTCTATGTAGGCTATAATGGGGTAGCCTATATGGGGTACAACCCGAAGTTAGGGTTAGTACTTGTACCCACATTTCATTTAATGTAACCATTTCTTGCTTGCTATCTTGACATGGTTTCAAAGTAGTAGGTCCGTAGGACCGTTTTTCTTTTCGGGCCCACCATACTTAGCTTCCGACTGCGGTTGCCGCGTTACCCCACTACCCTGCGTCGCGCTCTCTTGTGCACGCCCTGCCTTGCCCCGCGTCGCGCTGCCTTGCGCACGCCCTGCTCTGCCCTGCCTGGCGTCACCCTGCGCCAACGCCCTGCCCTGCGCCGACACCCTGCCCTGCGCCAGCGCCCTGCCTTGTGCCAGCGCCCTGCCCTGCGCCAGCGCCCTGCCCTGCGCCAGCGCCCTGCCCTGCGCCAGCGCCCTGCCCTGCGCCAGCGCCCTGCCCTGCGCCTGCGCCCTGCCCTGCGCCAGCGCCATGCCCTGTGCCAGCGCCCTGACCTGCGCCTGCGCCCTGCCCTACGTCCGTGCTGTGGCCCTGCGCGTCGCGCCTACGGCAGCCCGCGCGTCGCACGCTGCTGCCCCGCGCGTCGCGCTCTGCTGCAGCCCGCGCGTCGCGCCTTAAGGCAGCCCACGAGTCGCGGGCTGCTGCCTCGCGCATCGCGCTTTGCTGCAGCCCGCGCGTCGCGCCCTAAGGTAGCCCATCGCGTCGCGCTCTGCTGCCCCTTGCGTCACGCACTGCTGTGTCAGAATATCATGCTTGTCTAGCCTGCAATGGGGTACTCTATAGTGAGTACAACCCAATTAGGGTTTCCTATATGTATCTCAACTGCAGCTAGTTCAAACCCTCCTTTCTCATTCTTGTCGAACATACTTGTGTGATTATAAATGTGTAGGCTGTAGTGGGGTTAGCCTTAGAGGGTACAAAAACAACCTCGACACTCTAGTCTTGTACCCTAATCTCTACTTAGAAACACATTCCCTTTGCCTTAGTCTCAACATGGCATCTAGAGCACTAAGTCCCTAGGACCAAAGATTAAGGCCCACCTACTACTGAGTTACCTCACCTACAGCTGTGCCTATGTGCCTGCTTCGCCTGTTGCCCGCGCGCGCCTTGACTGCACGCGCGCGTGCATTTTTTTTTAGGCGCCCCGCTGCCTTAGCCGCCCGTGCGCCCCGCCGCTGTCACGCGTAGCCTTCCGCCGCGCACAGCCCGCCGCCGCGTGCAGTCCGACGCCACGCGCAGCCTGCAGCCGCGCGCAGCTCGTCGCCGCGCGCAGCCCGCAGCCGCGCGCGCAGCCCATCGCCGCGCGCAGCCAGCCGCCACGCGCAGCCTGCAGGCGCGCACGCAGCCCGTCGCCGCGCGCAACCTGCTGCCGCACGCAGCCTGCAGCCGCGCGCAACCCGCAGCCGCGCGTGCCCTGCCCTGCCTATGCGCCACCGCCTCGACATGTGCACTTTGCTGCCCGTGAGCCGTGCGCCTGCATGCCTTGAGCTTCTGCCTGCCTAGAGCACCTGCCTGCCTTGTGTCTGCCTGCCTTAAGTGCGCCGTGCCTGCAGTGCCCCTGCCTGCCTTACGCCTGCCTGCCTGAAGTGCGCCTGCCTATCTTGTGCGCTTGTCTGCTACCTGCTGCCTCTGCCCACTGCCATTATGACGACGCCTAATGTTCTCGCGTTCAAGCGTGACGGTCGCCCCATAGAGTTCGCTGTGTGGTTAGACGATCTCCAGCTGTTCCTTCTGACCGATGCCAAAGAGGGCGTTTCCCTGTTCGATTACGTGTCTGGCACTGCCGTTGCTCATGCTGTCGATGCTCCTGCTCTCGAACGCTCGCAGTGGCAGACTCACGATGCTGCTGCACGCCTCACTATTAGGAACCACCTGCCGATTACTGAGCGCGCGCATTTCAGCCAGCACAAAACTGCTAAGAAGTTGTACGGCGCTGTAGTTGCGCGCTACTCCTCCCCGGCCACTGTAGCCATAGGTCGGCTCATGCTACCCTACCTGTTCCCCGACCTTTCCTCGTTCACCACTGCTGAGGACCTCATTTCCCACCTGCGCGCTACTGACACTCGCTTTCGTGCCGCCCTTTCAGCCGAGTTCTGCGCCGCTAACCCCCCCCCCCCCGATGTACTTCACTCTCTATTTCCTCGTCACCCGCCTCCCTGACACTCTTAGCTCAGTCAGGGACCACTTCCTCGCCCTAGACCCCCCCACTCTCATTGTCGACGACTTTGAGAAGCACCTCCTCGCAGCAGAGAAGAACATCCTTGCTGTAGGTGCTTCTCGTGGCACTCCTCACTCTCTCCTCTTTGAGGGGTGCTCCCCCTCCCCTCTCACCCCCTCCTACGCCTCCGCAGCTGCTGCTCACGACTACCTTGGTGCTGAGGAGGTCGGAGCTGCTTCCGCTCCTAGTGGGAAGCGTCACAGCGGCAGGGGTGGCAGGGGTGGCAGGGGCGGTGGGGGTGGCGGTGGAGGTGGCAGTGGTGTAGGCGGCGGGGGAGGTGGAGGTGGTGGGGGTGGTCGTGGGGGTGGAGGCGGTGGAGGTGGTGGTGGGGGCGGCGGAGGCACTGGGAGCGGTGGAGGGGGTAGCAGCAGCGGTGGGGGAGGAGGGAGCGGTGGTGGTAGTGGTGGTCAGGGCCAGCAGCAGCCGCAGCAGTCGAAACAGCAGCAGCAGTAGCGTCAGCGCCAGACCCCCACTTCCCAGCAGCTTCTTGACTGGTATGCCGGGCGTGGGGCTTTTGGGGGTCCTGGTCGCTGCCCCTATATCATTCGCACAGGTCCCCGCACTGGTCGCCAGTGCACAGGTTATCACACTGAGCAGCGCTGCTTCGCTCGGCTTAGCGACGCCTGGCGCGCCGAGTTTCCTGATGCTCCTGAGTTCCCCAACTAGGCAGAGCTACTTAGGCGTGATGTACCTATCTTTGATCTTGACTATGAGGCTATTCTTGCTGCTATGTATGTATTGTCTGTTAGTGCTGAGGGTGACTGCTACTTGTGTGTGCCGCCTGACCCCGGTATAGCCCCAGGTATAGCGCCTGTGGCACTAGGTGCTTGTGAGTCTGCTCCTCCTGGTACTACGTCCGCACAGGCCTTGCACACTTTTACACTTGACTTTGGTGCTTCCCGCTGTTTCTTTCGCGACAGTACCAGAGTCACTCCCCTCCCTACACCTGTTCCTGTCTCACTGGCTGACCCCTCTGGGGGCCCAGTGCTTGCACGGTCTTCCACCGTGCTTCCGTGTCCGGCGGTCCCGTCTGGTGAGCTGTCTGGTCTCCACCTCCCCTCGTTCTCTACGAACTTGGTGAGCAACGCTGTCCTCCAGGATGCGGGGGTTAACACCTTCACCCCTGGCCGGCAGCGTGTGGCGATTTGCACGTGCTGCGAGACCGGCCGCCACCTGGCCATGTTCACTCGTGCGCCAGGGTCCAGTCACCACTGCGTCACGCTCCGCCCCTTTGTCTCCCCAGTTACACGCGTCTGCTCAGGTAGCTACCCAGTGTGAGTGTCGCCGGCTGTCGCACGACACTCTCCTGTGGCACCACCGCCTTGGTCACCCCTCCCTACCTCGCCTGCGTAGCATGCACTCTTGCTTCCTGGTCTCTGGTCTTCCCAGGTCTCTGCCTGCCCTCCCTCCCTCGCCTACGCCGCCCTGCATTCCTTGCGTCGAGGGGCGGCAGTGCGGCGCTCCTCACTCCTCCTCGTTCCCTCCCACAGAGGCTCCCCTGCAGACTCTCCACCTGGACGTGTGGGGACCAGCCCGCGTCCGTGGACAGGGCCACGAGCGGTACTTCCTGCTGGTCGTCGACGACTACACGCGTTACACCACGGTCTTCCCCTTGCAGCGCAAGGGGGATGTCCCTGATGTTTTGATCTCCTGGATGTGCGCTGCTCGTCTCCAGCTCCGCGAGCAATTCTACTCGGACTTTCCTGTCCCGCGTCTGCATTCTGACAGAGGTGTTGAGTTCTCCTCAGACCTCTTGGCGGCCTTCTGTGCGGAGCACGGCATCTGCCAGACTCTCACACTTCCGGCCACTCCGCAACAGAATGGGGTTGCTGAGCGCCGCATTGGCTTGGTCATGGAGGCCGCTCGTACCTCCATGATCCATGCGGCTGCCCCCCATTTTCTGTGGCCGTTTGCGGTCCAGTACGCCGCGCATCAGCTCAACCTTTGGCCCCGTGTCTCCTTGCCGAAGACCTCGCCCAC